ACCTGCAGAAGACCGAGTTGTGGAAGGAGCATCTGGATACTGATTTACACGAGCCCGCAGAAAAAATCATGATGTTGAGCTTGCATTTGCTGATGAACAGGGTCTGGACTTGCAGTCTTTTTTCACTTCCACCAGATGCCTATGCGGGATTGCTGTCACCTGATGCAGAAATTCGGACGATCACGGCTTTGAAGGCAAAGGGCCATCACACATCACTCTTGAGGTTGGAGTCGACATTGGCACGGTCCACTCCAAGTGTTCATGCCCGGCAACTCTTCACAGACCTGCAAGTTGGAATCAGCCATCCTTCGAGACTTTTTCTGGACACATTGGAGGCACAGGGATATGAAGTGGCGCCTCCGGGGTCAGAAGACATTGTCGTGGATGATGTTGACACAGAGCAGGACGGGGAGATGGAGGATTCTGTGCCTGAAGAAGCAGATGACGGTGCCGGAGTTGGTGACATTTTGTTAGACGGGCAAGAGGGCAGAGTGCCAGCTCAAAGGACTGTAACAATATCGGTACCAGCATGCCCTGCAACCCACCTGCTGAGTGTTCTGGTGCAGACGCTGCCAGACAACAAGATTGTGGAAGATGTGCACAACAAGATTCGTAATGATTCTTTGTTGAACAAAACCCGCAAGCAAACATACTCCACGATTCAAACTGTGATCGAGAATTCAAACGTCTTTGAAAGCCGTTCAATCAGGCATCCGGCAAAAGTCAAACGGGAATATTTTGAAAGGGAGTTTTGGAATGTGGACAGGAAGCGCCAAAAGTTGTGCTTCAGAGGATGTGTCCACAAGCTGCCGTCACAGTATACCGAGATTGTCGGCGACAAGACATGGAACACCCTGTCAGAAGAGACACTCGAACGAGCATCAGCTGCGTGGTCATGGCTAATTCACTACAATGATGCAAGACTGGCATCTCAGCATGTTCCCTTGCGTGCTGGGAAGTTTAGCAGCCTTGCAGCCCCTTTGAAGATCTTGAACCATGTCTTGGATTTGACATGCTATCTCTCTCTTGGGGCAAAAACCTGGGCTGCTCTCATGTGGCCAGTGGTCCAGCATGAGGACCAGTCGACAGGAGAGATATATTTTGTTTTGAAGGCAGAGTGCCCGGATGGTTCCAGCGTCAAGGCCTGCTGGATTCATTTGTATGAGCCCCAGTATTGGGAAGTCATCGAAACAGAGGCAGTCTTCTGGAATGGCTTCATTTGCCTCCGTCGTTGTGCTACAAGCTCAGTGTCACTTCTATCCTATATGTTGCAGCATCCCAAGTGACATGTTTTCATTTAGGATTCTGTCAACTGTCGACCCATACAGTAAATAGTACAATAAACTTATATAAGTTTTGCTGTGCTTGTTTTTGCTGACTCGACTGAGGGAAATGTCACAAGCATGTCGGACTCTCGCAGACTGCCAGAATCTCGCCGAGCATGTGATCTCCCAGACTGGAAACGTAGACGAAAAAAAGCGAAAGGAGCTGCAACGAATGCGCCGTCCAAAGCTCATGAGCCTGATCGCTTCTCATCACCTTCCGGAAGATGAGGATTTCATGCGCAAAATTGAGGCTATGTATTCGACAGCCAAAGATTCAACAGAGGATGAGGATGAGGATGACATTATCATGGGGGACTTTGTTGATGAGCTGGTTCTTGACGACCTGCTTGCTGAGGACAAACAGGAATTTAAAATGGTCTCAGACGCAGTCAGAAAACGCAGAATCAAAAGGGTGCATCAAACCTGGCAGGCCATCAAGACGCAGCAAGCAAAGGCCAAGGCAAAGGGCAAGGCCAAAGCAAAGACCAAAGCAAAGGCCAAGCCACAGGCCAAACGGAAAGCCAAGAGAAAGATTTGTCGCCCACGTATGTTGCCCAGGAAGCAACCCGCGCCTCCTGATGAAAGTGGTCAAGAGGGAGCAGAAGGCAGAGTGCCAGCACCTCCTGCTGAGGTGCCGGTGGAGCCGGAGCCTGATAATCACGTGGAGGCCGCGGAAGGCAGAGTGCCAGCCCCTCCTGCTGAGATGCCGGAGGTGCCTGCTGCAATCCCTGTCCCAGAGCCTGATGATCACGTGGAGCCCGAGGAAGGCAGAGTGCCAGCCCCTCCTGCTGAGATGCCGGAGGTGCCTGCAGTGCCTATCCCAGCACTCGAGCCACGGGAGGTTGCAGTCCGTGGCCCCCAACATCAGCGGCGGCCGAACCGTGTTGACTACCAAGGGGTATGGACACCTGTTCAATGCCCGGAGTGTCCCAAGATCGCTGGTGAGATGAAGTACGACCCGAATCCTGGTGGCACTGACAAAGCAAAATGGTTTCTCCGAGTTCGTGTGACAGACGGCGGTCTCTTGGAAAGATTCGGAACATTTGTTATAGCTTCGATGTGGTTGCCTGATCTGCTGTGTGTTGTGTCACATTACATGAACCCATGTGTGTCTGGCATTGAAGGCGAGTGGAGCCACCTCGTACCCTATCACTGGGGACGTGTGGCTTCCAAGATGACAGAAGCGCAGGCCAGACAACACGTCATTGACCATAGGCCCTGTTGTGGCCCGACCAGGAGGCCTGGCAACAACTAGAGGATTCATCCTGCGCTGCAAAGAAAAGTTGTGTGTCTGTCTGTGTGCTTGCATTGATGGCAGCGGGTCCTGCTAGATTGGAATGCGTCCGAGAGACTGTGTGTTTCTGCTTGGGGAAGACGGATTGCGAAAGCATGTTCGCATTTTCACACATGTGGAATTTGTCACGTGCAAGCACATGGACAATCATTTCGAGTGCCACAACCCGGAAGCCGCACAAACTAGCACATGTGGTTTGAAGCCGTGCGTGCTTGTGACTGAACAGTAGCCGTCCAGAGCAATGCATTTCGCCCCGATCGAACGAGGAGAGTGTTTCTTCAGAGGCGAGCTCTCCCCAATCTTGATCAAAACCGCTTGCGAAAAATTGGCCAAAGCGCCTGACCAGTGGAAACCAGCTGAGAGATGGAATGAAGTTTATGACGACGTGCCTTGGGAAATCATGGTTCGCTACCTGCGTTACTGGCCACGTATTGGCTCCCGCATTACAGGAGGCCTCAGGCTTCTTCGACGGTACCAAGGCCCCTTCCCGAAGTGTTATCAGGTGGGTGAAGGAGAAGAACCGCTGGAGTTGCCGCGCGTTTCTCTCGTTTGTGATTTTGTTTATGTTTGGAACGACGAAGATGAACAACAACGGCAGTTTGTCCTTCAGATGAAACACCTCTCACTTGTTGCCATCCGTCTCGGTGGTCCGGGGGAACTTCCTGACCTTGATGCTGGAGCAATACCTTTGACCGACCAGCTGAGTGCAAAGTTGGGGTGGCAATAATTAATGGATCTTGAGGCGGGAAGGCAGAGTGCCAGCAGCTGGGAAGGCAGAGTGCCAGACGTTGTCGCGTCACCCAGCTGTACCCTGCTTCGCCTGCACGTGATTCGCTTGACAGTGTGGTCAACGCAGAAAAGCGCAACATCCAGCAGTTCGTAGCCACTTCACGCGATTTGTGCATCCCTAATACTATCAAACCCTAAAACTATGGCACTCTGCCTTCTAGCCCCAAACCCTAAATACTAAAGACCCTGAAACTCTAACCCTAACCCTTTCATTACCCTCAAACCCTAACACTATGGCACTCTGCCTCCTAACCCCAAACCCTAAATATACTAAAGACCCTGAAACTCTAACCCTAACCCTTTCATTACCCTCAAACCCCTAATACTATGGCACTCTGCCTTCTAACCCCAAACCCTAAATATACTAAAGACCCTGAATCTCTAACCCTAACCCTTTCATTACCCTCAAACCCTAACACTATGGCACTCTGCCTGCTAACCCCAAACCCTAAATACTAAAGACCCTGAAACTCTAACCCTAACCCTTTCATTACCCTCAAACCCCTAATACTATGGCACTCTGCCTTCTAACCCCAAACCCTAAATATACTAAAGACCCTGAAACTCTAACCCTAACCCTTTCATTACCCTCAAACCCCTAATACTATGGCACTCTGCCTTCTAACCCCAAACCCTAAATATAATAAAGACCCTGAAACTCTAACCCTAACCCTTTCATTACCCTCAAACCCCTAATACTATGGCACTCTGCCTTCTAACCCCAAACCCTAAATATAATAAAGACCCTGAAACTCTAACCCTAACCCTTTCATTACCCTCAAACCCCTAATACTATGGCACTCTGCCTTCTAACCCCAAACCCTAAAGACCCTGAAACTGTAAACCCTGTGCCAGGTCTTCTTCATCCTCGTCTTCTCGGAAAAAACATTAGTTTTTTTTGTTTTAAAGTTTTTAAAAATTTTTAAAAGTTGTTTAAAGTCTTTAAAAGTCTTTCAAATTCTTTTTAAAGTTTGTAAAAGCTTTTAAAAGCGTTTAAAAGTCTTTTAAAGTATTTTTAAAGCTTTTAAATGTATTTTAATGTTTTTAAAAGTCTTTTAAATATTTTAAAAGCCTTTTAAAGTTTTGAAAAGTCTTTTAAAGTTTGCAAAAGTCTTCTAAAAGTTTCTAAAAGTCTTTTAAAGTCTTCTAAAAGTTTTTAGAATGTTTTTTCTTGCATTTGAAAGTTTTTAAAAGTCTGTAAACGTCTTTAAAAGCCAACTCTGTCGAAAAAGCCCTGTGGATCTAAACCTTGTGGTTCTGGTTCGGTGCAAAGGGGCAATGATCTTTCTTTCTCTTCATCGTCCCCCGGACGAGTATCCCCTTCACCACGAGCATCACGACGAGGGGAACTTCATCCGTTGCAGGCACCCACCAGGCAAGGGAAGCATGGCAGAAGTGGGTTTTCCTGGTGCAGCATCCAAAGCAGCTTGCGCATAGAAGTCAACAGGAGCAGGAGCACGGACACGAGCTGCAAGAGCAGAGAGAGACATTTCACTCACAGGCTCCGCGGGTCAGGTATCAACTCAGTGTGCAGTTCGAGCCGAAATGGCGTTGAGCCGTAGCCATTTTGAAATAGAAGCCGAGGATGAAACTGTGCCAACGCTCTGAACAACGTCCAGAATTTGGCGGAAATGCCTCTGCTTGCGAAGCAATGGCAAATTTCTGCACAGGACACCGAGAGCATCCGAGAGCTGCGCGCAGTGCCCGGCTTGACACCTGTCCATGTGCGCCGTGAAATTTCATCAACTGCAACTAAATCCGCTCATGACGGGCTGGCCAGCCAGAATGTCACACCCCAGCACCACGTCAAAGGAGCCCAGACCTCACTCGCTTTAAGAAGAAGCGGGCAGTTTTCAGCAGCTTCGAACGAGGCACGCTGGCTGATGTGTTCTGGACTCTCAGCCTCGGTCGGACTTGGTGCAGTTTTCTAGCACTGTGTCTTAGTCAAAACAACATGTGTCAAGTTCCTGGCCCAGTCCAACTCTTGAACATCGATGGAACCACCTCCTGCCGCAATAACTTCTTTGTTCCGACCTTGGAGAAAAGGCACTTTGGCTAAGGTTCTCGATCTTTTCAACTACGTACGCTTGTATTGAGTGTCTATCTAAGGATGTCGCAGACCTCTCGACGAAGCAAGTCAACTGGTGACTGTTCCTTTTGAAAGTGACATACTTCTTCTCAAATCCATTGCTAACTAACTTCACTCCACTCGCAGTGCATCAATACGTGTAGCCATACAGTGAAATCTTGCGTGAATCAGTCCGTCGCGATAACGTGGCCGCCGATGGCAGCAGCGACGATGGAGGGCAAGCCTGGTTCCGCAGAGCTCGCGAAACGTTGTAAGACCGCAAGTGAAACCTGCAAACGTAGAGAAAGAAAAGCTTCATAGGGCCCGTCCCAATCCAGCGCCAATCTCCAGAACACGCTGACCCCGCACACGCCACGGCCTGCATGCCATCCGACTGTTTGCTTCTGCTGACGATGGTCATGGTATGTCATGGTGGGAGGAGGAGGAGGAGGTTCAACTGCACTGCTGGGAACGCAGCTGGGACCGCAGAAACGAGGCGAGAAGCAGCGAGCCGTCCCATAGGGTGTTGCTGTACCTGGAAATCTCTCGGCCAACAGTGGAATCCCAGCCCAGGTCGAAAATTCTTTGTCATGAAGAGATATGAAGAGTTTGAGTATCGCATGGGGCACACAGAATAGGACAAATTCGCAACATCGGCTCCCTCCAGCCTTAGTGAAGCGAAGGGATCTTAGTCTTTCATCGAGTCTTCCTTTGCTGAGAATGCTGCGGCGAGTCGTCTGAGGACGAGCCAGGGCCAAGCCTGTATTGTGATTTTTCATCATCGTGACTTCCTGGATTTCAGCTCTTGAGCCACTGGCTCTTCGCAGATATCGACATGACCTCCCTGCAAAAGGAAACGCTTCCTCTCTCCCACCCGGTCATTGTCTTGTAATGTATTCAGAACCTCAGCTCCAGCAACATATCATTTCGCGTAGTCCAAAAAGATGGGCTAGTCTGGGCCAGCGACAAGCACACCCGGCACACCCGCAGACCTGTGCTTCACAGGTTTCTCTCCTCACGGTGAAAGTATGAAAAGAGCACAGGAGGCCCACGAGTCGGTCATCTTCTGAGAGCCGCAGGCCGCATGCAACTGCTACTTTCTGTAATCAGGTCCCATGCAGTGCTCAACCATTGCGGATGTTGTTGTCTGTGCTGCTGCTGTCACGAAAGATCAAATCCGATCTTGCTTTGTGGTGGAACAGATGTGTGCCGTGGCAACATACTTGTGGGACTCGTGCCTGTGGCCAGAACATGACAGTCACCAGTGCTGTTCGCACAGGGTCTGAAGCCACTGGCAAGAGTGAGCTTTAGTGCGAAATTGATGTCAAGCGTCCAGCAGTGCTCAGCTCTGCATCGATTTAATCACGGAGTCTCGCAGTCACAGATCCTCGTCATCGACCTTTCTTTCTTTTTTGGCAGCTACCTGCCGCATGGTGCTGTGGCATCTTTTATTCGCTAATGGTTGTTTTTATGTCGGCAGAAATGGCACCCGCTGGCTCAGGTCTCGGATCCAGCCTTGTCTTCGCCTGTATGCTTTTCCTCCGCAATGACAGTGACAGATCCGAAATCATTCTGCATAGCAAATGCGCATGCTATATACATGTGTGTTCTCAAACATTGTGCAATCCAGTCGATTCAGAACCAGCTTTTTGACCGCCTGTGTTGCTTGTTTCTCGCGTGTGTCGGCAATCCGTGACTCCGGCTTTGATGTGCTTTCCTCAGTCGATTTGACCGCATCTGCACCGTTCAATTACCTGTCTACTGTTTGACTGCAAACCTGTCCGAAGCCTCTAAATGACCCAAAACTCTGCGCTCAGGCTTGGTCTGTTTCTGGAGTGCTCCTCCGAAACAAGTCCAACAGTTAGCTTGTTGCTATGTGCAGAATCCGCATTGGCAGTTGCAGGATCCGGCTGTCGAAAAACAGGTTTCTTACAGAAGACAATGCTGCATCAGCACAGACACGGTGCCTTGCGCTTAGCGACTTTCTCTTTTTGCTTTAGCTGCCGCTTCTCCTGGACACTGACACAGCATGTTCTTCAAGGCAGCAGTTGCCTTGTCGCCAGCATTCCTGCTCGTGCCGCTTTGTGGCAGAAGCATCGGTAGTCTTCTCTGCCTGTGTTCAACGTTAGTGCCGTTAGTGTATGAACAAAGTAGTAACGACGGGCTTGGCCTTTCGTTTCTGCTTCTCTCTGTCTCGATCACGCTCCTGCAAATCCCAGCTGGGTCCCCAGCTCTGTTGCGAAGCTGCGTTGGCGTGCCTCTTTCTCCCTGTGATCCTTCTTGCTCTTCTTCTCATGCTTCTCTTTAAACTTAGGCATCACCATGGCTGGGTCCACAATCATGGCCATTGGGTGATAGTGCGAAGGCCTGCCGACAGCCAGAGCCAGGACATTGCAGTACTGGCTGTTACACTGTTTCGACTTCGCAGGCTCAGCCGGGCCCGTGAATCATCTCGGGCGTCATGAACGGCACGGTCATGATGGCTGGATGTGCCATCCTGACGAGCGCTCTGGAGCCGGTGTCTCAAGTTTGACTGTCCCTCGCTGCCCTTCTCTCTCCCCCTGAGTTTGGGTCATGAGCGGGTCCATGAGGTGATGAACACCCATCGCAACTTGCGATGGACCAGGCCCCATGCCCAAGCCGGCTTGACGGGCCTGTGCAAGAGCGGCGGGAAGCAAGAGCGGCGGGGTCCCCAAAGGAGTGCGAAGAGCTGTGCAGCCCAGGAGCTGGCCCTGGCCATGCCGGTGCGACGCCCCTCGGAGAGTGGTGGAACATGCGGAAACCGTTCAGCCAACGTTCAGCCCGTTCAGGCCCATGCCGGCGAGGCGGCATGTCGCCTGTCTCTAGCTCTGTATGTGGCTCCATGTCCTTGTGCCTGCCCTTAGTACGCAACCTCCACCGTCTCTCACGGTCCGAGATCGCACTTGTCGTCGGAAATCTGCAGCTGCCTGTTCATGATGTGCTGTTGCCCACACAACACAAGTCAAATTGGAAGCGACCTCGTCAAAAGTCATGTGAAACTGTCAGAAGCATTTTTCGCCTTGCTTAGAAAGCGGTTGTCACAGAGAAGTCCTTTCCGTCTCCTAGATACCTCCGCTTGAATTCAACCTGCTTCGCTAAACATCGCTCTTGAAGCTTCGACTCTCCCACTTCGTCTAACGGCTGGAGGGTGAACTCTACGGAATCCTTTGCTCCCAAAGTTCTTAAGAAGAAATAAGTCTGTGCATACTGTACGGCTTTTACAGACATGTCATAAGAGACGCATTTCAAAAAGATGCGTTCGAAGGTGTTGATCTCTGCCAAGCTGTAGAGATCGAATTTCTGGGCAAAGTCTACGTTCTCGTAGGACTCATCATACCACACCTTTGAAGCAAGCATCATTGCAGTGATTGTTAATCTTTGCCAATTGTCTGGCGTCAGAGCAATGCCACTTGTCTCACAGAACCGATCCAAATACACCAACGTGACAACGCTGACCTCCGGATGGACCTCTAATGCATGGATAACGAGCTCAAGAAAATCATATATGTCCCATTTGTTCGGAATCCGTCGAACTGCAATTGAGTTGAACGGATGGCTTGGCTTGTTCAAGGATTCGGAGACCTGCGCAGATGATTCTTTGGACATCAATGGCGAGCACATGCTAGACAAAGGCGTGCCGAAATCACTTTGCTCGTTGCCAGGAAATCCCTCACCACACGCTTCTCGAGGTCGCACCTGCTTTTCCAACATATCTTTGCAAACAGGCTCCAAGAAAATGGCACAAGCAGCCAGGCATTCAACTGATCCGGTGTGGGGCCGAGGCTTTCCCACCGACAGTATGACTTTGTTCTGCAGTGCAGTTGCGAGACACCTTATGAGATTATCCACTTCGGCGTTGGCAGATGGAATCTCCATGGACTTTGCGAACTTGGCCCGCGGTGGTTCCACAGCGGGCTCATGCAGGTATCCTCCCAGAGGTGTCGGCATCGTCAATGAGTCTGAGTCGCTGAAGGCTCTAGCTCGCACAGGCAAATCTGGCTGTGGAGACTCGGTGTCTCTGAGCCCCCAATCCACCCCACGACCCTTGTGAGATTGGAACATGTCATTCAGAGTCTCTGGCCCAGCAGCCTGTGCCAGTGCATGCAGCTGGCTGGTCAGAAAATCCACCTGTTCGGTCTGGGCTTGAACCAGTTCCTCAAGTTCTAAAACTTTGTCACGCTGCTTCTGCAGCTCTGCTCCTTGATCACGGATAACTTCAAGCAATCTGCGAGTCTCTTGCTGCCACTTCTTGCTTTCATTCTCAGCTTCTACCTTGCCTCGTGTCAGCTCAGAGTTCTGTGAGCACAGCCGCTGCAAGGCCGCGTCATCTTCAAGCATTTGCTCCTCCCGCCTATCGGCTCCCAGCACGGCATGCCGCAAGCATTCGATGGCTCGAAGGAGCCGTAGCTTATGGCCTGGATAAACACGAAGGGACTCTAAGAAGTCCAGCACCTCTGTCTCCGAAAGTCTGCCAATTGTCTCCAAGTCATGGAATCCTGCTGCTACGAAAGCGCGAGCATATTGGTTTAAGCCATAAAGTCGCAAATATGCAAAAGTTGGGGTTCTATTGACTTCATTTCCTCCATGTGCGCTTGATCGACCAACGCCAGGTCCACTCGATGCTGCCCGGGCAGGCTTCGTGCTGACGCTTGCGCCTGCAGCTCCCAAAGGACCTCTGGCTGCCATGGCTGGCCGTCGGCCAACTGCCGTTTGGACGTCTCTTGCATCTCTCGCATTGCTCACGCTGTACACAGCTTCTGGCGAGGGGCGACCTCGAGCACTCGATGCACTCGCATCTCTTGCTTCAGGTGATACTTGCGACACATCAGCAATGCGAGATGGGGGTCGCGGTGCTGAGCCAGGCTTTCGCTGTACGCTACTTCGTGGCGGGGCACCATTGCGTTGGCTCGGTGGGCGAGCATTCATTTGTGCCAGTGTGCCTGGAAACAACTTGAGCCATGCAATACAGTCCCGTTGAGCCGTTGACTGCATCAGTAAAGCTCGACTTGACGTGCGAACTGTGAGGTATCTGGCAAAGCATGGCCTCTCCAGGCTGTCTGAGCTCACTTTGGGAGTGCGCAGCTGGGCACGTGCTGCCTCGTCATTGCTCAAACTGTGTTCCGTGTTGGTGCCCTTGAAGCATCGACTAGGCAGGTCTTCCCGCCAGCCAGAATATCCAAATGCCTAGAATGGCAGGACTGAGGTGCAGTCCTTTGCGGCACCTACCCTCCAAGAATTCGCTGCATAAATGCGTCCTTGTTGGAAGCTGCACAACATGTGGACTTGGGGAAAAACGCGAAAGTCTGTGTCTTTGACCGTTTGAAGTTGCAGGGACAACATGGGACAACACTATGCTCCAACGCCTGAGGGTCTGTCTTGTAGTCTCGCGAAGGCGGCGTCTCGGCTCGGACAACTCACGTAGCGCAGGTGCAAACTTATATGCCCGAACTCTGAGGGTGGAACACTTGTCGTTGGCCCAATCTCGGCACTGCTCGAATCGCTGGAGCTGTCAAGCTGCGCCGCCACAATTGCAACCTGTCAATCGAGCCAAAACTGCCTATACATGCAAAGACGCCACGTGCAGTGACAGTCGGCAATGAAAGCTCTGCCACGCCTGTGGTGCCTGCCTCTTGGACTCTCTCGGCTGTGCTTCCGTTGTCGGGTCTGACTTCTCCTTTTTCTCTTTCTTGGCTCTCTTGTCCTTTTTCTTTTCTTTCTTGTCCTTCTTTTCCTTCTTCTCCTTCTTACCCGCCTTGCCTGGAGCAAGCTCCGGCGGAACTTCAGATAGCGCGGCATCTGCCTCCTCTGCCACTCTCTCCTCAGGTTCCACCTTTGACGCCATTGGTGCGTCTGGAAAAGCCTGCAAGACAGTGGATAGTGGAGATCAGGCAAGAGTCAACAAGTCACCGTATGATGCATGCATTGCAATTCTTTTCTCTGAACAGCTCCAAGCAAAGTCTATCCGTGCAAGTACATCCCGATGCTGGATTTACCGGTGTTCGTGCGGATGCTGTCCCTTGTGATGTCTCAGCCGTGTCCCACAGGTCATCACGGGTCCAAGATTTGTCCGCAGGAAGCGTGCTGAGGGAAGCCCATCACAAAACTGGCTCTGAAATCCGAAAGCTGAACGTCAACGTGCATATCTGTAGCACAGCTCGGGGCTCGGCGGGGTTTGTTAACTCTCCTACACAGGTGCCTCGTCTGCCTCACTCTGCGGCGGCTGCGGCGGCTGCGCTGCATCCTCCACACGCTGCGGCGACTCTTGCTCGCTTCCATCGCTTCCAACTTTCGGCTTCGAGACTCCTGACAGTGAAGAAACTGCCGCCAAACGCGCGGCGCGGTTTAACGCGCTTTGCGGCGGGATAATCGCAACTGAGCATATGTTTAAAGTATTTTAAAGTTTACACTTGTCGATGACGGCATGTGAACTATATGACCGTCCTTCCCCAAGATCCTGGAGTCTCACGGTGGAGGGAGCAGACTGGCTCGGCTGCGGCGTAAAGGAAGATTCCGAAGCGGAAACCTGGCAGATCTGGCAAGCATGCTCACGGCGAACGCACGAAAGCACACACGTACACTTGTACAACCAAACTAACTCGATGACTTCCAGCTGGTAGTGTGAAAACTGCAGGCTTCACGGATGCAGGAGGTTGCTTTGCCATTAGGGTGGAAGCTGAAGTTGCACACACTTGCGTCGAGCAACTATGGAAACATGAGGATCATGAGGAAATTTCCACTCAAGTGTGGAATCGTGTTGTCTGCTAAAGCCTGTAGAAAGTGTCATGTAACCCAGACATACCCAGACCCAAGCCGATCTTTATTCTGACTGTTCATTCCTCGGCCTGCTACGCAGCCCGAGAGGCTTGACATCTAAAAAGTTTTGCTTGGGCTCCAAAAGACCATAAGAAAAACAAGTTGTTTGAACCACTGTGCGGCGAAACCCAAATCCTCTTCTCCACCCACACGCCGGCAAGCGAACATGCCTACTTGACCCGACCGGGACATCGAAGCCGAGAAGGAACAACGTCGGGGACATGGTTTCGGGAGGGCCTACTTCTGGCAACACAATCGATAGAGGGGCGATCAATGCACACCTAGAACGTTCCATGTTTCAGGCAAGTTCACGGAATTGACCAGGCACAAGGCCTCAGGGCTCACTCCTGGTCGGTTACCATCCTTTGTCGAATTTCTGTCCTGCAATATTGATAAGTCTGCTAAGTATTGCAGTTCTGCATTTCCTTGAATCAGTTTCTTCTTCCTTGGCCTGGATGTCATCCGATTGAAGCACGGCGGGGGGATCTGAGTCCTCACTCTACAAACACGAAGGATTCCTACCACTTCCATTTGCAATCCGGCCTGGTCAGACAACTCGTCCGTTGGGGCAGGGTCGTCCTCCAATAAGCTTGTCTTGCACATGGCTGCCACATGCTGCTCGAGCCACTCCTCGCCCTCTTTCTTATACAACAGAGCTTGTGCCCATGCCTCGGTTGGTTGATTTGTGCGTCCATTTGCGTGGATGCTTATCGGCTCGCAATCAACATTCAACATCAAGCCGAGCTTTGAACCTTGCCAGTGGTCTGGCACAGGTTCGCCTCTACGAACTCCACCAAGACCTCCACATGCGAAGCATGTTCGTGAAGGATTCCTGGCGCATATAAAGCACGACAAGGATTCAGCAGCACACTGGAGAAACTTTTGCTTCTTCGGTCGTTGCCCAGTGCCTGTGCCTACCCCCCTGCCAAACGGCGGTGTGTTCCACGTGACAACGTCGTGACAACCGTTAGCAGGGTAGCAGCGTCTCCGACCTGTGCGAAAAATTACTGCTCACCGCAAGGGCAAGTTCTTATCTTCTTGCTGCCTTTGAACTCTGCCTGCTCCTTCGTGTAGCAAGCATTGGAGCCTTGAAGGGGCTCGAGCAAGTCCTTGAGGCTTAGGTTGCAAGGCTCGCCCAAGTCGGGCCCAGAACCCAGGTCGAAAGAGCGTCCCTTCGAAAGCTGGGGCTCCAAAAGGCTGGCGACACAAACGGCTGCCACATCTTCCCGAGGCACCTGGCTACGGTTTTCTCCGTCGTCCATCAATGAATCATCAATGCCAGCATAGAGCTGTCGCCGCCCGCCTGGAGCTGGTTTACTGTCCCCGAAGTGCGGCAGGAGACCGCCAGGGTGGATGATGGTATAAGGTATGCCACTCGCCACGAGGTAGCACTCGGCTTTCCTCTTCCAGAGTACGATGTTCTCCATTTGCGTGTTCAGAAAATGGTCCGGCTTTGTCCCAGCCATTGACGAGACAAGGACAACATGTTTCAGTCCGGAAGCTTTGGCGGCATCAATCTGACTGCATTGGCCCATCCAGTCAACTGTCTCAGGCGACTGTCCCTCATCGAAATAGAACGAAGGCTTTTTCGATACATAACCTAGTGTGAAGACTTTCGCAAGGATCACACCAAGCAAAGAGGACTTTAGCAGTCGTGGCATAGCGCTTGTCACAATGACACAGGCATCCATACCGACAAAGGCTTGCCTCAAAGTGTCGGGATTGGTAACATCCGCCAGTACAATGTTAACAGCAGCTTTAGCACCAAGTTGATCAACCAGCTTGTTCTTGCTGACTTCACTTCGCACCACGGCAGTTGTTTCAATACCATGTTCTATCAGCTTCTTCACAACCAGACTCCCAGTTTGCCCGCCTGCACCGGTCACAACTACACGCATCTGCAACAGGCACTGAATGGCAAGAAACGATGGAAGGATGGCAACGCTTTAGCCGCTCCGAACTCTTGAGCTGAATCGGCCGCTGTGGGAGGCTTGGGCAGTCGGCAGCAACTTGCAGCAAGCATTCGTACCTTAGTCTCTCACACCAATGCTGTCAATGCTTGACCTGACAGACGCCCCTGTACAGGTGTAGCCTCCTATGCCCACAGACTCGCAAAACCCGCGAGGCATCTACGAAATGAAAGCTGTTGCAAAATCACTTCCCGGCCATGACTGCCTTGTTTCGTGTCCCGAAAATTATACTGTCCACGACTTTGTACCTAGGCACCTGGGTGAAACATGGTGCAGACTTGATGAAGGTACGATGAGGGAATTTGGGCTCGATTTTGCCACGAGTCAGCAACAGTCAGTCCATCACTAGTAAGGGTGAAAGAGAAGCACATCTCGTGCGCTGCTTTACAACATGCATGAGACAAAACTGAACCATTGCCATTCTGCGTACCAGACTCTTACTAGACTTTGCCGAGTCAGGAGTAGCTAGTTAGTGGCAATCGAACATGTTTAACTGCGGGGAAAGTGAACGCGCATCGTGCCTCTCTCGATGGCTTCTGGACAAAGAAGCTCGGCGAAATTTGTTTCTCCTCACACAACCTTGTGACAAAGACAAAGCCGTCATGTAGCCACAGAACTCCGGTACATAAGCTGCGAGCTCTTCCCAGGATTGCTTCCATCCAGCGTCTGCTGCCTTCAGCCCTCGTCGCACCTGGGGCACACATCATATGTTCTGTATCTCGCAACGCTTAGGGGATCACGCGCAGGGAGTCGTCGCAACCAACGAATACCAACGAGTTGGAAAGCATTCGCGTCTCGGTTCTTGAGCTCAGGAAACCCTAAACCCATACCACAGTTTCTGAGCATGTGTGCAAGCTAACAAACTTTTGTCTTTTCTCCTGCTTCTCTTTCTCCTTGCTTGCTTGCAAGGGGTTTGGGTACGAATCCCCTGGCTCCGCTTTTTGCGTTTTCTTGCTTGCACTCTTTTCTTTTCTCTT